GTAGTTCCTAATGTCTTATCAGCATACATCTGCTTTGTGTGGAGGGTGTAAAAGATCAATGGCTATGACAGATTTAATTTTAAAAAGTTGATCCCCTGTAAAGCAGGCTTATATTCATGTTTCTCTCATTGCATATATTTATGCTCAGGGAAGAGAGAGTTAACTTTGGTTAAGTCTATTGGGCAGACACAAACACAGATCTGGCAAGTACTCTGTAAGATATGTGCATGGAGCACTCTGAGAGGTGAGAGAGGGCCATCTGCCCTGGTCTAGGGGAGTTGGGGAAGGCCTCCAGAAGGAAATGGACTACCAATAAGAAGAGGGAAGAGAGGCAGCCAGAACATATTGATGGAGGAAGGGAGCTGTGGGCGATAAGGCTAGGGCCAGATGGTAGAGGACTTTGTGTGCCAAGTTGAGGGGCTTGAATCTCCTCCCCACAGGTGATGAGGAGCCATCAAAGGCACATCAGTAACAATGATTTTGATGTAACGGTGCTTACTACATGCCAGGCACTATTCTAAGAGGTTAACCAATATTGACTCATTTAATCTTGACACTAACCATGGTTAGATGGTTTAAATCACTTTGGTGCCATGGGGAGGTTGGTGGCTAGAAGACCAGTCCCGATACACGTGGTTCAGGAGAAAGATGAAAGGAGAAATGGAAAGTGATAGTTTTGAGACTTAATTTGTGTGCTTTCAATTCTTTTACATTTGTGGTTTGCTTTATGGCCCAGAATATCTTGGCAAACGTGTCATTTGCACTTCAGGAGAATGTGTCTTCCGCTGTTGTTGGGTGGAGTTTCTACAAATGTCATCAGGTCAAGTTGGTTATAGTGCTGTTCAAGTCTTTTATAAATTTGATAATTTTCCAACTATTAATACTTTGTGGATTTGCGTATTTAGCTTTTCAGTCAGACGGGTACTACGGCAGAGGATAGAATGTTTGCTTGGGCCAGAGGAATCATTTTATGTCTTTAAATTTCCTCTAGAACACAGAAACAAAATGGAAATGACTACATATCCCAGCAGGCCCAGGGGAGCAAAGGACAAATGCAAATAAAGGAGTCTGGGCATTAGGCCACGCCCCTATCTGGGTTGGCAAGGCAACTGATACCCAAGCCAGCCAATAGGTGATAGGTTCACCTGCGGGGCGGGGACTTGACGAGAGCCAATGGGTTGTGGGGCAGGTGTTTTTACGAGCCAATGGGTAGGGCGACGGGGCGGGCTTTTGATGAAGGGACAGGAATGGGAAAGATGGCGGCGATTCTGGGACCCTCTGGGTGGTGGCAGCGGTGGCGGCGATGTTTGTCGGCTCGGGATTGGTCAAGGATGTTGCTCCTTCTCCTTTTGTTGGGGTCTGGGCAGGGGCCACGGCAAGTCGGGGCGGGCCAAACGTTCGAGTACTTGAAAAGGGAGCACTCGCTGTCGAAGCCCTATCAGGGTGAGGCGCCCGGGGCGAGGTGGTCGTGCAGGGGGAGGGGTTCGGGACCTGAGCTCTTCGGTCGAGGCGGGGGCGGCAAAAGGTTTCGTGGCCCCGAGGAAACTGATGGTGGTGGGTGACGGCCCACGGGACTCCCTCCGCGTTTGCAAGCCACAGGTCCGAAGGGCAGGGGTGAGCTCTCCCTCGCTCCCCTCCCCAAGCTCTGGAAGTTTCCAGCAGCTAGAGGCTGGGCTCCCGTATGGCACTAGCGGTAGGCTGAAACGAAGGAGAGCTGGGAGTTGGACAGGAGTGTGGGAAGGGGAGAGAACTGAGAATGGTGAGGAATGATTGAGCGCCACTAGCAATGGTCCGGTCTCCGGACGGACCTGTGGATGTGCTGGAGATAAAGCAAGAGGAAGAACTGGGGTAGAACTTGGCCGGAGTGAGAAAGAAGATAAAATTCTGTTGCCAGGTAGAATACCTGCTCATCTCCAGTCTAGGAGCCCTATTGATAATGAAAGATGCTGGTTAGTTTTGCTCTATTTAAGGTCCGTAGACCCCTAAACACAGCTTATGACCCGAAAATTGATACAGTTAGCTACAAAGAGTACGAATCAGTGCAAATGGCTTAACTAACACAGTCCTTATCCCCACTGAGGCATAGATAGGGGGACAGTAAACAATGCAAAATGCAAGAGCTATATACACTACTACTAAGGATAATCATTTATTCACTTAGCAGATGCATGGAGTGCCTCCTGTATGCTGGTCTCTTTGCTAACACTATAGGTTACACAGACACACAGTTTTCACTTTTCTAGGAATTTATAGTCCGAGAGGACAGGGAGAAAGAAGTAGCTTCACACTTGAAGGACTGTTTAAAGAAAGAATGTGATTAAGTCCCAGAGGCCTGAGGGGCAAACTCTTCTTGGTATAACTGGGGAAGTTTTTTTTCTTTCATGGTATTAAAGTTTACTCACATATAAAATGGGAGGGATGGATCTGAGCTGTGGTTACTGGGGTGTGCATAAAGTGATAGCTCTGATGTGTTTGGGGGGTCTTCACTTGAGAAGGGCCTTGTGAAGAAAGCCGTAAAAATGGTAAGGATTTAAGATTTATGAGTGGCAGAAGACAGAAGATGAGTGACGTGAAAGAGAAAAAAAGATGATGGCTCCAGCTTTCAGATGCTCTGTGGTGCTTTCTGAACTGATTGGTGTTGAAGAGTATGAACTGATCTGCTTCTTCCCCATAGGTGTGGGCACAGGCGGTTCCTCACTGTGGAATCTGATGGGCAATGCCATGGTGATGACCCAGTATATCCGCCTTACCCCGGATATGCAAAGTAAACAGGGTGCCTTGTGGAATCGGGTGGTAAGAATCTTTCTCCCTCCTGTGCTGGTGACCCAAAAAGTCCTAAAAAGTGGCAGCAGTGGCATATTGACTTAATTTTGGTGTCTATCCCCAGTATTCTGTCTTCTGTGGATATCAAGGATCTTTATTTCCAAGATTATGATGACCTTCATGATAAAGAAATCAGATATTTAGGGAAATGCTCTCCATTGCCCCAATTATAGCAAATAATTCATTTTGAATCTGTTTTCTGAAAAGTCTTTAATTCCTGATTGACCTAACAGTACTACTTCTTGGGGTTTAATAACTCTGTTTAATTACTTTGTTTCGCAAAGTAGGAGACTACTCTGAAATTTATCCCAAACTTCATTGCAGTATCCTCCCCTTATTATTTCAGTTTTAAGAGTCTAATTTAAAATTTTATTTTCATGTGAAAGCCACTCTGAGCCATTGGTCATTTTATTTGTCCTTCTCTGGACCTTTTCTAGCTACGTTGTCTTCCTTGAGGTATGGCGGCAAGAAGTGAATGCAGTATTCCTGGTGTGGCTGCACTGTGATTTTGTACAAGTGTAAGATAATGCTTTCTTTTCGGTTTCCAGAGCTCTTTCTGAATCTTTTACGACCACTTTTGGGGATGATCTTGACATCCTTTGATACTTTCTTTAGGGCTCTCAAAGCCTAAGAGCTTACTTTCACATGATATTTCTCATTAGTTGTAGATAAGTGAACCTCAGAAAAGAGAACTACTTCTTTTCCCAATTCATTTTCTGTGTCAGAGAATTCTAAAGGAGCACAGGCGTAAGAGAAGTTTCTACGTGAGCTATCTGCGCAAGCTGGCCCCTTAACCCAGATTGTAGTGCTGAGCTTGTTTTTGGACAGAGTGCAGGGCATTTTGTTCAGATAGAAACGTTAAAGGGCAGCTAAAAGACTTGGGTTCTAGATCCAGCTTTGTCACTGTCCCATTGTGAGCCCCAGGCAGGTTATTTAACCTCTTAGTTTTCAGTTTCTCTATCTGTCAAATGAGCTTCATAATACCTGTTTTACTTGCCCAGTAGGGTTGTTGTGAGAATAAAATAAGACAATAGACATGAAAAGGTTGTGGAAAATTGAAATGGTTAACAGAAATATGGGTTGTTATGTTATTACACTTGTTATAAGTTTCATTTTGGGGGCTCTTATAGGTTACTAAATGATTATGTTCAAGGCTTCATACTTTGCTGCTGTCTTGCTAGCTTTCTGTCTCTGTGTAACTCTTTTTTTTTTTTTTATTTCAGCATATTATGGGGGTACGGATGTTTAGGTTACATATGTTGCCCTGGCCTCCCCCTCCTCCCCTAAGTCCGAGTTTCAAATATGTCCATCCTTCGGGTGGTGCGCATTGCACCCTTTGTGTATGCAAATACCTGTCC